GGGAAGAGGCGGAGCTGGGGGGGGAGTATCTGAAATTGACTTCTTGCCTCTTTCTGGGGCCTTAGGCCTCAGATAACAGGGCTTTGGAAGAAGGAATCCTGATGATGGGAAGTCAGGGGTAGGAGCCTCTCTGGCACCCCTTGCTCTATTTCTCACAAGAGCCTGTAGATGTCTTGGTTTCCTTAAGTGGCCCAAGCTCTCACCCCCTCCCTCAGCTGCTTCCCTGCGAGCCCACAGAAAGGAACAGCGAGGCCAGACAGCTGACGGTTAGCTTTTTGTTTTTAATTTGTCTCCAATAGGCAACATCATCTGCCCATTCTGCATGGGAATTGGGTCCTGAGTGAAGGCAGCCCAGCACCCACTTTAGGAATTGGAGGCAGAGAGGTGGGAGGTCTGCAGGCTCAAATCCCCCCATTTGATGAGTTATGTTTGGAGGGCCTCCAGTCCTGCCAGGGTAGGTTAAATTTTGTCTACTTGGCCACAGGCCCCTGGGAGCAGTTGAAAGTATGTGGGCTCTATGGCCCTGTCCTGGGACAGTTAGAAATTTGGAGGCTCCTCGGTCTCCTGGGAGCAGTTAGACATTAGGGAGGTTGATCCTTGCCCCTGGGGTAGCTAGAGGGTCTGGCTGTTAGAGATGGGTGGCTCATGCCTCAGCCCCCAGGAGATGTTAGAGATCTGCCAGGGTCAGGGGGGCTGGGACCCCAGTTTTAGGAGGGGGTGGTTATGAGACTGAGGGAATGCTCTGAGCTCCCCAGACAAAAGCTGCAAGTTAGGGAGGACCAGGGCTGGTTGGGGCTCAACTGCCCCAAAGGAGCTGGGTATCCTGCCTGGGAGGCGCAGGTGTCACTGGGGTTTCTCCCCCTCCGTGGTCCTGGCCTCCTCCTTGGCGGCAGGTGGGGACTTCCTGGGGGAAGCTGAAGTGGTGGGGTTGGGGCTCCCCAACCCTGACTGAGCGTCAATGCTGGCATGCTCCTTCCGGACAAGGTCTTCTAGCTCCTTCTGCAGGGGACAATGTTTCCAGGGGTCAGAGGTCACCATGCCTCATGGGGTCAGAGGACCCATGGGGCAGGGGTCCAGGGACTGGGCTCAGGGAGGGCTGGGGTGGCCCAGGCTCCTCACCTTCCATCCGAGGAGGTCAGCAAGAGCCAGGCAGCCCTGGTCACAGTCACCCAGCCAGGCCACATCCCTGTGGTTGAGTGAGAATCAGATCTCCCAGGCTTGCCCCAGGCCCCTGCTAGCTCTGCCCTGTTTGTGTGCCTTCATGCCCCACCCTCTCCCCACCCCCACCTTGGACCTGTCCCTCGCAGGCTCCATTCCCCACAGCAGATCCAGGCCTTACCTGTAGGCCTTCTTGGAGTCAAAGTCCATGCCTCCCCCAAGGCCCATCATCATTCCCAGGAAGGGGTCAGTCTGCAGGGAAGAGGGGGTATGGGGAGAGAGAAGAGCACTGGGTTTGCACCCCAGCTCTGTGACTTCGCTTAAGTGGCCTGGCCTCTCGGAATCTCAGTTTCCTTATCTGTAGTGGGGATGATCATCGAACCCACACCGAGGGCTGTACTGTCAGTGGGTTAACCCAGGGAAAACGCTTACAGCAGCGTCTGGCACATGGCATGTTTTGCCTGTTGGAAGAAACATTACTCTCCAAGAGGAAGCCCCTGGTGACTCTGATGACACTGAGAAGGCCCAGGCTCCCGCTGCCCTGACTCTTCAGTTCCAGGAAGTGTTTTGGCTTCAGTTGCTCTGAGTTGGGGTTATGTCACTTGCTCAAAAGGGCTCTGAATGACCCAGAGCCTGTGGAATTTTAGAGTCAGGGCAGCCCAGAACTTGATCCCTCTGGATTCTGGAATCCCTGGTCCGGAGCTGAGGGGTCTGAACTATTGGGTTCCCCAGAGACCCATCCCATCATTCCGAGGCAGCCAGTGGGAAGAAATGGGGACCCATGTGAGGATCAAGCAGGCAGGGAAGAATGAGAAGTGAATAAAAGCCGACTCACCTGGCCAGTTTTTTCCTTGTTGATGAGCAGGCGTGGGGTAGAGAGGGGTGCCCTGGGAGGATGGCGAGCTGAGTAGTGAGGACCTGTCCTGGCTCCCCTATCCCCAGCACCCCCGAGCCCAAACCCCAACCTACTTGCTGATGAGGGATGCAAAGGGCTGCACCTGCAGAGAGGTGCCCATGATGATGAGCAGGTCCACGTTCAGGAAGTCCTGTGAAGGGGGAGTGGCCATGGCCATGAGGGCTCCACCCTCAGCAAAGGCTGAGGCCCTCCCTCCCCACCCCAGTCCCCACTGCTGGCTGAGGAAGTGACCCTCCCCAGGGCAGGGTCCAGGCTGTCCCCACATGGGCTGAGCACAGAGTGGTGATGGAGACACTTACTGACTGAATGCAGGAGAAGAAACGCGCTGGGAGGTTCTCACCAAAGAACACAATATCTGAGGTGGAAACGGATGGACAGACAGACAACACAGGACAGAAAAAGACAGTGAACAAGGGGAGGCAGAGTACAGGAAGGAGCAGAAGGCAGACCTCAGGGCTGGGTGGGGGGTGCAGAGCAGCAGGGACAGGCCAGGGTACAGAGCCCTCTCCCTGGAGAGAGGGTGACCAGAGGTGGGTGGATGGCGACTGTGGCCTTCTGGGGAAGGGGTTAGTGGGGTGGGGTGTTTCCAAGTCGGCATTAGATTTGGGGCAGTCCAAATCTCCCTCGGTTGGTCCCTGGCCCCAAGGCTCACCAGGCTTCACCACGCTCTGACAGTTCTCACACTTGGGAGTCACCTCGGAGAAGATCTTCTCTGGGTGTGGAGAAGGGGAAGGGGAGAAGGAGGTGAGAGGCTCTGGGCTGGGGCTGCAGCCTGCCCTGCCACCTCCCCTGCCCCTTTCTTCACTGTCCACGCAAACACACCTCAGTCACCAGGGAACCTCCTGGGTATCTGCCCTGCTCAGAAGGGACCCCCCGTCTCAGAGAACTGCCCCTGTCCTCCCCCATGCCCCAGGAGTCCAAGGGTGGCTCCCAGCAACAGGCTTAGCTACTGAATGAAAGAGTCAACAAATGAGCAGACACTTGCTCCTAATAGGGGCCACTGGACTCCCCAACTCCCAACCTGGGGAAACTGGAGTCAAGAGTGAAGTTCTGTCTGTGGGTCTTTGAGGGCAGCCCTATTTCCTCCTGGGTAAGAGAGGCCTGGGGTCCCAGGCCTGGTGGCAGAACAAGAGGGAAGAATACACAGATGATCCTGGGATGGGGAGAAATCTTTAGGCAGACTTGGGTTCTGTGACTGACACCCCCACACACCATACTGTGACTATCATGCTCCTTATTGCTTATTATTATTTTTTTTAGTATATTTTTATTGATTTCAGAGAGGGAGAGGGAGAGGGAGAGAGACACAGAAGCATCAATGATGAGAGAGAATCATTGATTAGTTGCCTCCTGCACACCTCACAGTGGGGATTGAGCTTACAACCCAGGCATGTGCCCTGACTGGGAATCGAGCCAGCAACCTCTGGGTTCATAGGTCGCCACTCAACCACTGAGCCACACTGGTCTGTCTCCTTATTGCTTATTGATTAAGAAAACTTGAAAAGCATTCTGCCACTTGCAATCCATAGAATCCTAGCTCATTCATTCAACCATTCATTTCTTTGACAAATAGTTAGAGAAGTGTTTTAATGTCTGTCATTTATTTTAAAACATTTCTGCATTGACAGTATCCTATTTTGTGGGTGCTGCATGAGCTATTGCTGTAAGTGAACATAATGGGGTAATGTTAACTGTACATCATCCCCAGCTGCACGTAGCTGGGCTGTTCAGGCCTCCTCACTCAAAGGATGGTCAGCTGGTATTTTATCCAGAGGCCCTAATACAAGTGTTGTCCTTATCTCCCATGGACACCAGAGGCTTTGTGAAGTTAGCATAAAGAATGTCAGAAATGGGTTTTCATGGGTGAAATAAGTGACTTCTTTTTTTTTTTTTTTTGCCTTTTCTTCGTTCTTAGCTCCTATGATTCCTCACACCTCACATTCATTTCTTCATAAGTGACTTCTTAATTCACACAGTGGAGGTCAGAAATAGGCTCTTGCTGTATTCAAGAAATGTGGGTTGGCTGAAAAATTTCCCCCCCCTTTTTTGGACACTCTGCCCTAACATGAATGGGGACTATGACTTTAGCAAGCCCTGTAGGGGCAGCCCCAGCCTTCAGCCCTGATCAGGCCTGTGTTTGGCTTCACACTCCATAGATTCTGCTCGCCTGAATTCATGGGCTAATTGAGTCCTGTGTTTCTCGTACAAGTGCTGTCCCATATGGTCGTCATAGCAGATATGGCTTTTTACATTTAAAATTGAGTTCCTTGGTCCCACTAGCCACATTTCAGTGAAGCCAGCAGCTGCCATACCGGACAGTGCGGAGATGGGAGGTTTCCCTCATCTCAGAAAGCTCTATCGGACAGCTCTGCTCTCCTGAGAACTTAGTTCCAGCTGCCTTGATGAGCACATCAGGTACACTAAGGTCAGAGCCCCTCAAAGGGCAAAGAGCTAGGGTTTCATGACATCACGAAAGAGGCGGTATGACCATTTGGGGGCCTCTGCTACCTGTCTCTGTGTGCGGCTGACCTGGATCTGGAGCTTGCATCCATCATAACCTGGCTGTGAGGAAGTAGTGGAGCAATGAACCTCACTGTCACTTCAAATCTTTGGAGGCTGCCATTATCTGCTAAAAAGAGCCACAGAGCTG